GTTCATTATGTTCCTACAGCCCAGCAGCTTGCTGACACTCTCACTAAACCACTGCCAGCTGCCCGGTTCCTTCTCCTACGGTCCAAGATTGGAGTCGTTGACACTACCTCCATCTTGCGGGGGCGTATTAGAGAAAAAGAATAATATTTCTTTTCTTATTTTTGTAATTAGCTTAGTGCACCTATTAACCTGCACCCACTACATCACTCCCCTGTAAACTCTCCGTTACACTCTAACAAACCTCCTGTAATCTTGTATAAAGCAACAGCTGAATCCAAGAGGAAGATCAAGTTTTGATTGCCTCAGAATATCTCCACATCAATTCTGTTATTCCTTCAGTTATAAGGTAAAGACCAAAATACAGTTCAATTAGAACCAGACTGAAAAATATATCTCTGGGTCCTACTCCTACTCTATCCACCAACCATTCGTATACACGATTTGGGTCCAGTCCAGTTTGGTTCCCAACCCCGTCGGGTCGGTGGAGGCGAACCATGTGATGATGGTGACGTGGCGGTGGCTCCTTCCCTTCCCCGTGAGAGAGAAAAAAAACCAAACCGATTGTCTTGGTCCAAGAAGCCGGTCCTATTACCATATTTAGGATGTAAAGAGAGGCGAACTCATAAACAAATCGCCCCAACTAACCATTGGCCCATGGCCATCACTATGAAACCAGGGCCGATAATTTAATTTATAATAATAATAATAATGATCTACAAACGCCCCATTTTCTATGGTGGGTTCCATTCAAAACCCACCAACCAACCAAGATTTTTAATGTGATAAACAAGTTACAAAAAGTTTAGCCAAATAAGCAGGCCACTAGAACCATCCAATATCCATCCCCCCTTTTCCCACTTTCTTTTACACAAAAATATCCTCCTTCACGAATTAAAATAATAGAGCACCACCCTTTCTGTTCTTGTATTTCTATAATAATTCCGTCCATCCTCATCTTCCTCGCCATATCAAGCTACTTGCACCATTCTCTAATCTCTATAATGTGGGGAGATGTTGTAACCTGTATAATTCTGTTCAATCGTTGCAAACCTGAAATCGGCTGGAATATTACACGTATGAAATGGTAGTCAAAACCGTTTCAAATTCAGGAAAATTATTGACAAATCGATATGATCAGATAATTCATCGAATACTAATCGTTTATCACTTTTCTACATGTTTTATAAAATCGGAATAAAATAAGGATTAACATACCATATCGTACCCGCGGTCCGACCTGAAAAACTTTCTACCGAAAGCAAAATTGGTAGGAGGTATTTAGCAGTATAATACAGATGAACCATAATTAAACCACAGTTTTAGCATAAAATACCATATCGCTGACTTTTCCGGTACAACCTCATTTCAATAATTGAAATAAAATCGGTATAACCTTGGTAAACCATATCATTGCCCAACAATAATAACAAGTGTCATTTCAATCTTGATCGACAGTCGACACTCACACATGTCCCCATTTTTGCTTCCATTGATCAATCCCACCCCCACCCAAAAAATATCATGTCATGTCTCATGTGCATTAAGAACAAAAACAAAGAGAGGAAACATACAAAGCAAAAAAGAAAATATTCTGATGATGAGCAGGCGATTGAGAATTGAAGCATATCCAATTTGATCAGTTTGTAACACGACACGTGTTTGAGAACACACGGCAACAAAGAAGCTCACTTCATTTAAATACCCTATTAATTGTTATTAATTGTTAGCGACCTCCTGCACTAACTTAATATAATTTCAAGTTAGGTAATTTGTATAGATCTAAACCGTTCAAATAAATAAATTTATTTTGAGTTATTGATTAAAAAATAAAACGAAAATACAAAAAAGGGCTATCGGCGCCCAACGGCCGACTGCCCGTGCACTTTGTTAAATTGCACTCGTATTGGGCTGGGCCGATTGATAATGGGAGGCTTTTAGTTTTTTTTTATAAAAATTAATGCTCAAGCAACCATCTTTGTAATTTAAATTAGAATATTTTGTTACCAAAAAAATTACAATATTTTAAATAATCTTATAAAAAAGAATACATAATATTTTGAATAAAAATCGTGGAAGGTTGGTCCATTTCATCCATTTTCAATTATTTATTAAATAATAAACAAACATCATTATTAATAATTTCGCTTAAATTTAATTTTTAATTATTAATTATGTAATGACAATTTACAATTACGTAACAATCAAATCAGAAGTTTTACGTAAGACTTCCGTAATAACTTCACAGTTTATGTAATGCAAGGTTAATATTTATTACGTAAAAGAAGCCTCAATTATGTAAGGCTTCCGTATTGACATTTTACAACTGTTACGTGAAATACACATCCATTACGTACGGTTTCCGTAATGACAGTTGTTTCTTACGCAACAGTTAAATCAAAAGCATTACGTAAGGCTTCCGTAATGACTTCACGCTTTACGTAACGCACGATTAATATTCATTACGTAAAAGAAGCCTCAATTACGTAAGGCTTCTGTAACGACATTTTACAACTGTTACATAAAATACACATCTATTACGTAAGACTTCCGTAATGATAGTTATTTCTTACGTAACAGTTATATCCGAAGCGTTACGTAAGCCTTCCGTAATATCTTAACACTTTACGTAACACAAAGTTAATATTCATTACGTAAAAGAAGTCTCAATTACGTAAGGCTTCTGTAATGACAGTTATTTCTTACGTAACAGTTAAAGTAGAAGTATTACGTAAGACTTCCGTAATGACTTATCACTTTACGTAACGCAAGGTAAACATTCATTACGTAAAAGAACCCTCCATTACATAAGGCTTCCGTAATGAAATTTTACAACTGTTACGTAAGATACACATATTTTACGTAATCATTAGTCATTACGCAATGCCTATTGTGTTTTGCAACCTGTGAAACCTTCTATAGCAGGTAAAAAAAATCAAGTTACCTTACTTCAAGGCATTGTAGGAATTTGTTTAACTATGTAGATTATGTGTCGGGCTTTGGTGTGGCTTCTCATAGTATTAGATATATTGTTTACTAACTAGTATTTGATTTGCAATCGTGTTTAGTAGTGGTTCAATAAAAAAAACTATTAACAGAATCTAAATTGCTAGGAGATTTTAGCGGTATGAAATTATTTAATCAAGATTGAACTTCAATTTTAGCAGAGAATGCCATAATGCTAACTTTTTCAGTACGACCTTTGGTATGGTTTTACAAATTTTTTGTTTTTTTTTTTGAACATACATCGTGGCTCGGGTTGGAGCAACGTGTCAACCCTTGTTTAACGACGATTGAACTATGATTTTAGCACAAAATATCATAATTCTAACTTTCCCGGTACGACCTTCTATTTGGTTTTACAATTTTTCTTGGTTATTCTTTCTTGAACATAAATCCAGACTCGGGTTGGAAACAATGTGTCAAGCCTGATTTTAATCACGGTCAACTATGATTTTTATACAAAATATTATAATACTAACTTTTTCAGTACGACCTTAGGTATGATTTTACTATTTTATATTTTTTTAACATAATTCGAGGCTCGGGTTGGAGCAACATGTCAAGTCGTATTTAACCACAGTTCAACTACGATTGTACCGTACTAGCGGTCCAATCGAAAAAATCCTAACGGAATCTAAATCGGTAGGTGATTTTAGCGGTATAAAATGATTTAACCACAGTTGCACTACGATTTAGCACAAATGCCCTAATGCTAACTCTTTCGATACGACCGTCGATATGATTTTACAAATTTTGATTTTTTTTTCTGAAGATGCATCGAGGCTTGGGTTGGATCAAAGTTTCAAGCATGATTTAACCAGTATTGAACAACGATTTTAGCACAAAATATCCCAATGCTAACTATTAGTAGTGTCCGAGGTTGTGAATCTGGTTTGACCCGTTGACCTGGACGAGTTTGTGGGTCAAGAATTAATAAGTATTTGTGAAACAATACGGTATTGACGGTTTGACCATAAAAATATTCTACCGGTAGGTGGTTTTTAACGTATGAAATAGTTGAATCACGGTTGAATCACAACTTCGATACAAAATACCCTAACACTAACTTTTTATAGTACAACCGCTAATAGCAAACCTTCAAATTATTCTCAGGCAAACAAAAAAAAGCCACAACTTAAAGGGCACACGCATAAGTGAAAGGAGAGGAACTATTTCACCATGTATATATTGTTGCAGAATTCTTGCAGGTGAGATAAAATAATGACCGGCGGTTCATATTAGCAACACTCCTATGAAACAGTAACACAATTGTATCTTTAATAATAACAAAACAAAAAAAACAATAATATTCATAGACGTGTTTGGATACCACCAACATCAACCAGCGTCTCGACACTTCTATTCTACATGTTGAGATCCTTACACTTCTATTCAAATATAGATTCTAAAGCTGCGAAAATGGGTGTAATTGTAAATGTGTCTAGAAAAAATGTTGGTAAATGGATTGCATTTAAACTTGGAAATCATGTTTTCAATAAATAAAAACAACTTGAAATCATGTGGTTTGAACTCCCATTTTTCCGTTGTCCTTTCGATTCCGATACAAAATAGGTAAGAAAGTAGGCTGAGTTCCTTCAATCGAAAAGCAGCCTTCACTCTTTTGTGAGACGCTAAGCAAATTTTAAACAATAATGGGTCATCAACATAAATTGAAAAAGCCACCATACCTCAGTTGTAGTGAATTATAGATCGTTCAAACCTTTAACCTTTGTATAAAACATTCACAAGAAGTTTAACTTGTAATGACATCAACACGGTAAAAAAAGTTGTTGAACTTGTATTAAAATGAACTGTAACCATTTTGTACTAAGTACACAGATTATCACCAAGTCATTACAAATTAATTGATACAAAAGATTACAAATTAATTGATACAAAAGGTTCGTAACCTTTTATGCTAATTACCTGATAATCTTTTATGCTAATTACCTGATAACTAGTTTTGGTTATATATTCCAGCCATCCATAATGCTATAAAACTCTAATCACTCAAATGAGTCAAATCCAATGATGGATCACAAATTAGGACAAAGTAAAAATGAACACTACATATATTTTATTGCAATGAACACTAAATAGTTGTCCACATACACAGCCACTCCTCTCTCCCTACACATAAACCACCTCCCCACCATCCCCAAACACCAAGCAAAATCATTCACTTCAATAAACTAAAATTGATCGGTCTTGTTTTTAGATTTTGATCAAATAAGTACCACTACAATAGGGGAAGTCGAGTGCCACCACCACCAAAAAAAAAAAAAAAACACGATCGAGCTGTAGGCAAATTTCAGTTTGAGGGTTTGTAATCCGGTGCGGCACATCAGCATCGGGTAGAGCTGCGCTTGGCGGGATTACCCTTCGATGAATTGACACGTGGTCTTTGCCGTCCGTCTGATTCTGGCCGCCTAGGTCAAAGCTTGGACCATCCCCACCGCCCACCATTTCCACGAACATCCTTTGCAGATCTTCGAAACTATCCCCCTAATTAATTACCCAAATCAAGGCAAATTACTAAAATCAATAACTTACCAAAAAAGGAAAAACAAAATACCATTTTAACAATTTAAATGTAAATATTTAATTTTACCTCATCCTTGACATTATTCATCATAGAAATCATCTCTTGCATGAAATCACAAAATTCCTGCCAGCATTAAAAATAACATAGGAATTAGGCAAGAGCTTCTAGGGAGGGCAAACAAGTAAATGAAGAAAAGTAATTAAATTTTTTATCCACCGGCCCAAAAAGCAAAAACGACGACGTTTGTAAGCAAGAGAGGGTAAAACGCGGCCGGAGGAAGATATTTTTATTTCCCCACGGCATCTGGAAACCCACCTCGTCTTCTTCCTCGAGAGGATCGTAGAGCCCGGCGTCGTACATTGACCTCTTCCCCGGGTCGGAAAGAACTGCCCACAGAGCAAATCGGGTCATCATCATCCACCGGCGCGAATCTAATCTACGGAGTTATAGAGAGGAAGAGTGGAAGAACTTCCTTTTTCGGGAGAAACGAAAAGGAACTCACCGGAGTAAGCCTCCTGTATTTGCTGGAATCGACGCTCCGCGTCTCCGGCAGCTAATCCAGGGTTACTAGCCCATTTGTCAGGATGCCATCTCTGCAATAAAACGAAAATAGGTCCTGATTTCAGCTGAAATTTCGAATTCGATGCCAAATTGATTACTCAATCGAATTGGGCGTTTTTTTGGGAGTCCAGACTTATAATTACCATGGCGAGGCGGCGGTAGGCGGAGCGGACGTCGGAGAAGGAGGCGTCGTTTCGGATCCCAAGGACGGCGTAGTAGGAAGACTGAGCGCCACCGTTGGAACCTCCTTCCCGATCCATCTCCCTACTTTTCTCGATCCTCTTCCTGCTATCTGTTCATACGTGGGTGACAAATCCGGAACTCAACAACCCGACGGAAGCCGCCGCCGGCGAATTAGAACAAGGCGAAGTAGTGGCTACAGTTTTTTTTGGGGGGGGGGGGGGGGGGGGGGGGGTGTGGAAGAGGGCGATCAGTCGAAATCAATTGGGTCCGGCGATGGAGATTCCGGGGGCGTTTCTCTTTTATTCTTCGTTTAGAGAGAGAGAAAGAGGGGAGTTTTTGTGTAGAGAGAGAAAAAATATCTCCTACGTTTGGAGAGAAGTTGTAGTTATAGCAAGGGAAGAAGGTTCGAGATCAAGTCTCTCTGTTCTCTGATAAGCATCTACCTAAGCCAATACATAATCTCTCTCTCGCTAGATATTTTCGCGGGAGGAGTGAAAATTGGCGCTGGAGTTGGGATTAATTACTTGACACTGCCATTATGCGATTTCCCCTAAATTCCCCCAACTTGCCCATATGATAGGGCTGGCTATTTGGACCGGGACCGGATGAAAAATCGGAAACCGGACCGTATAACCCGGACCGAGACCGGACCGGGACCGGATAGTAAACAATCCAATCCAATCTTTGGGCTTAGATTTGAGGTAAAAAACCGGATAAAGACCGGATAAGAGAGCTTAACACCCAAAACTTAAGGGTAATTTGCATAAACGGTCACAAACCTTTGAACTTAGTACAAAACTTAACCAACTCCTCACCCTTTTAGGCCTTAGGCCACTCAAATTCTCACAATCTCAATATAAAATCAAGACCGAATTGGGACCGGACCGGGTCAAGACCGGACCGGATCAAGACCGGACTGTATCCAATCCAATCTTTGGTCCTTATATTTTCAAAAAAACCGGACTGGACCGGATCAATTTGGGCCAATTTAACCGGACCGGACCGTATAGCCACCCCTACCATATGACATTAGTCTTTCGCTTTAAAGATTTTAGTTGCCTAGTTATGATTACATAGTATCGAGAAACTTAGTGAATATTTGTGTGATAATTTGTTATAATTATTCGTCTTAAGTAGTGCAGTCAAAATCGTGCATTAAAATGTAAAAACTTACATTTTTACGTATATAGGCCACCAAAACGCTTCAGTTTCTACCTAAAGTCGCTTAGTCACAAAAATTGGTAAAAACATTGGTTAAATCGGTAAAATTGCTTAAAATAGGTAAAATCGCGATTCTAAAGCGTTTTTATACGATTTTGATCATCTCATAAAAATGTACTAACTGACCCAAAATTATTTAATTTTGGAGACATATCAGCAAAAAATAAAAAAAGGAAAACATGATTCATCACTCGTTCTACAACTAGTGTTGAGATAGGAGCTTCACATTATGTTGAAAAGACACCTAATGGTATTCTCAACAGCCGCTGACCTTCTATCAGTCTTCTCCCTTAATCTTCACCTGTGGCTCTTACCTGGGTTACGATAAAAGTTTATTGGTAATTGATTGTATGTAATTATGTAAACTCAAACCAGCTTATGAGAATTTGGATTCTCAAGCTCTTTTACGTGTTACGATCTACACTTATTTGCTTATTATTAAGATGTTATGAGTTTTCTCTACTTTTGAGTCAACACAAATTAGTTTATGTGTTAGATATTACATTTTAATTATGAATTTAATGTAGTTATTCACTTATCTAAAATCTACACACTCACATTTTACATACTATATGTTGTACTTAACATATTTTAGCTATTTTAGAGGGTGCGTCAAAAACTTACACTTTTACGCTTTGATTCTATGTTTTACGATTTTATCCATTTTTCACTTCTAAATAAAATCGCGCTTTTAACTACATTGGTCTTAATTACATTTCTTCGAATCCAGTAGACTGTCCAAGTAGAAGTAATTGTAATCCTAGCTTATTATTTTATTTTTTAATAACCGAAACTACATTTTGGGATAAAAAAAGAATGGCAACACATCTCACATAATCCCTTGGATGTAATTTTGTAGCCACCCATGTAGTGTACGGTAATTAGGCCGAGAGACCTTTGCGTGGCGTGTATGAGCCGTGACGACGGGATAATTCCGTCCGTTCAGGGAAAGTTGGCTTACACGTGGGACGAGATATTTTAACCGTGGCAGAAATAATATAATAATAATAGATAGAATATACGGTAATCACCACGTCGGAATCAACGTGGCATCTTAATTTAGTTATTAACAACCATCCTATCACCATAAAGCTATGGATTATTAAGACAAAGATTATAGTGCTGAAACTCAATTTTTTACTATGATATTAGCACTAGTTTCAGTTAATAAGAACATTTTGTTTGGACGATATTTGTTTGAAGAGATTTGTTAGGAACGGAACAACAACAAGAATGAGCTTACCGAATCTGGAGCTGAGTCGTGGACTAGGTCGCTCTCTTTAAGACGTTCCCTGCACTGCCCTCGATGTGCACGACAGACTATCAACCGGTCGTCTCCAGGATAAAACAACTCCTCTCCATACTCGCGGTTTTGTGCGAAAACCCGAGTTCTCTGAACACTCTCTCTATTGTGTTTATGCTCGTATTGTGGTGTGTTTAGAGGGGTTGAGGAGGTGGCTATTTATAGGAGCCAAACCCCTAGGATTATCCCTCTTGCTTGGGGAATAAGTCGGATTAATTAATGAAGATAATTACTTCCTTAATTAGAACCCGTCTGTAAGATAATTCCTGGCGGGATTATCCTTCGAATATTTCTTTTAATCGATTATCCTTAGAATATTCGAAATAACCGATTAATAATTAATTATCTAATAATTAATTTCGTGCGGAATTTCTCCAAAAAGTATATAGTCTCAAGTGAACCAACCGACCGACCAGTCGGTCGGGCAGACGGCGCGCGTGTGTCTGGTGGTCTGTTAGGTCTAGGGGTAGAAATTGGTACGGTATCGGTATCCCAATACCAAATACCAAAATCCTGAATATCGAATTACACCCTAAAGTCAATCCCAATCCCTAAATAATTTCGGTATCCCAATCCTTAAATAATTTCGGTATCCCAATCGGTACCTCGGTATCCCAATCGGTATTATCGAATACATAATTAATTACCTTTGCAATTAATAATTAATTATATAAATTAGATTTTATTATTTAATTTAGCGCAAAGAGACTAAGCAAATAGTCTAGAGTTGCCTAGAATTAACATCTCAAGTTCTTGTAATTGGTAATCTTTAATTTGACAAATTTGAGGTTGAGAGACGACTAATACTAGTGTGAAATAGTGATGTAATGATCTATGTATAATCAAATGACACTTTTGGTGGTTGAGGCTTGCGTAGTATTGATTGAGAGATTCTAGTTGAGAGGATAAAATACACACTAGCTTATATTTCGGTATTGATCAGTATTTCGGTATATACCGATCCCAATCTCGTAATCCCTAATACCGAATAACAATTAAAATCCAATCCCAATCCCAATCCCACAAAATAATACGTATATTCGGTAATACCAAATATAGACAAATTCGGTACGGTATTCGGTATATCCCAAATACCGGTACCAAACTTCAAGCCCTAGTTAGGTCCTCCCTCTCCCACAAAAGTGGGTCACCCCAAGGGGCATTGCCCTTATGAGAGAGGCTCCTATCTTTATACACATTTCACCAAGTAAAACTACCAATGTGGTAGTTTTTCCAACTAGAGACTCTATAGCTTTCAAAGCTATTCACTCATTTCCAACAATCCCCCACTTGAATAGTTTTGAAACTATCTCTGAGCATTAACAGTTCCATAAGATCGGGCATAAGCTAAGGTATCGCGAAGATTTGAACCTTAGCGTAGTGGTTACACTTCCGATTTCATAAGGGTGACTCGTAGTCTTGAACCCTATCTCAGACAGTGTAGCACACCAGATCTTTTCATTGAGTTGTGTTCTCTTCTTAGCCCGTGCGTTTATGGCCATGCACGTTATCCTGGTTTAGTGAACGCTCTAGCAACTTTGTGCCTCCAAAGTTCCATAGGGAGCGACCCCACTCCCACATTCACATAGGTGAGTCTATCAGAAGTACCCCCAAAGTAAAGTACTCCACCCCACATAGGGTATAGATCTCATTAAGAGTTATTAACTCAACCTCTATTGCTTTGGGATTCATGCTTCACTATGCATTAACTTTTCGCATACTACTCATGACTTGTTATTACCCATTGAACCCATTTCTTGGTATCTCCAGTCTATTGGGCCGGGTTACCATCACTTGTAGTCAGTGGCGTAGCCAGGATTTTATGTAAGGTGGGTCCGAATTTTTTTAATATCCACGTGGTTCATTGAAAATTTTCTTTCAACACTTGCAGTGTAGCCTTAGTTCGAGTCTAAAACCTGATTTATTGCATTCATTATTAGGATAAAAAGGATCTAGTGAGTTTCAACAAAATGAGCTTGGCGATAGATAATGGATATATTAAGGATTTGAAACTTGGAGGATGAAGTTATATTTTGTGCTAATATTGTTTATGTAGAAACTAAAACGTATTATATATAATGATGATAGCTAAATTCATGATATAATTATTGTTTGATGGTAGAAATATTGATCAATATTGATGAATTTTAGGTGAAAAATCTCATTGTCACTTAATTATTGTATTAAGGAGTGAAAAACCGTAGCGTACTGGTGGTTCGATAAGAAAAATCTCATACTGTAAGCGAAATTGATAGAAGATATTAGCGTATGAAATGGTTGAACCATGATTAAACCACATTTTCAGCATAAAATATCCTACCGTTGACTTGTCCGATACAACCTTCTACCACTGTTAACCTAGACGTACATATTTTCTCCCGAACCAAGGTGGGTCCCAGTACCCACCTTGGTATGCAGTGCCTCCGCCACTGCTTGTAGTCCGTGGTTCGGTAGGCATAAGTCCCATACCCTTGGCGGTATTCTGGACTTTCTCTCTAGGTAATCCTTTCGTGAAAGGATCAGCTAGATTCTGTTCGGATCTTATATTATCCACTCTCACTGCTCTTATCGTTAGTCTCTTACAATACTGTGCTTACGACGAATCTGTCGTTTCTTTCCGTTATAGAACCGATTCTCAACTTTAGCCATGGCTGCGGTACTATCACAATGGATCAATACCGGAGGGACCGACCTTTCCCATAGGGGAATCTCTGATAACAATCCTCTCAACCAACTTGCTTCTTCACTAGCCGTTGCTAGTGATATCATCTCTGATTCCATAGTTGATTGAGCTAGGATTGTTTGTTTCTTTGACTTCCAAGACACAGCTCCAC